CAAAATAGTGATTTTAGACCACACTGGTAATGTAATTCGACAGGCAAATTACAGTAATATTTTTAGCAAATTTCTTTGAAAAAAATTTCGTAGGCATAGGGCTTAGGCCTAGCTAGGTATACAGTAATTTCATTTTACAGTAGTTTGGAACGATATCAGGAGTGGGGTGGTGGCAGTGGCCTACTAGGACTACAATTTATTTGAAGCTATCTTGGGTCCGATCGTCCACATCAGTTGGGCTCAATCGTCTGTCACCAGAAGTTTTCATCACGATGATCAAGAACGTACACTATTAGACGATAACACGATATCACTGACTGAACGATCTACAGTACCACCCTCGCATCGCAGTACTGTACTGAACTGAACTAGGCCTAGCTTAGCCCTAATGTTTTTGTCGAAATTTAGATAGTCGTTATGTACCCGACAGTCGGCTGCCTTTATATCTTCACTTGCCTTCAATTTGCATTCAAAGGGTACATTGCTGCATAGCCAACTGTCGGGGATATAGTACCTTCATATGACTACTCATACAACAGAAAAAAAAAAAACGTCGCATGGAGTTAGTCAAGAATGGAGATCTAAATGAAAAAACGATGTATTTCAGCAAGTATTAAAACCTTTTTGTTTTTATTTAGGCCTTCTTCAAATTACCTATGCCACAGCAGTTGATTTTTTTTGTCGTAAAACCAAAATAGTTTCATCCATGCCGACCGGTTAGCGTGAGCCCTGTGAACTCTGCAGAAACTTCACATCGGACTTCGCATCGCGAGGTAAAACAAAATGTCAGAAAACTTTTCTTTGACGCATGCGCATTTGCACAAATGTCTACACACACGCACACACATACTACACACAATAAAAAACAAAGGAAAAATGAAGAGTGATTGCAATAGTTCCTATTGCATTACATGCATAGGAACTAAAAATATGCATCAAATTTTAGTATTTGTTTTAATAATGTAGAAAATACATAAAAGTCACAGTATCAAGTTTTTAAAAGCTGTAAAACGTTATGTAATGCTCTGAAAAAATGACACGACTTATAACAAACGGTTGGAATTCCATGGCATCATAATTTTATAGTGATGTACGTTTTGTTTAATAAAGTGCATGTGTGTCTGTGAATTTGGCAAAGGCTTAGAAATTCATATTGTGTGTGCGGCAGAGATTTAATAAACGCAAATGAAGTGGATCCCAAGAAAACATTTTGTGAAGAGAAGAAAATAGAGTGGCGAATATATATATAGGCCTATTTTTCATGTTGTCATGGAAGAATTATATTTTGCATAAAGTAGGCAAGGTTAAAGATTGGTATATGGAGTGGAATATGGAAGTTTTAGTGCGTTTTGATGGCGTCTTATCCCTGGTATCATACCTTCGTCTCGGGGTCTTTTAGGCTGCATCGGCTGGTCCTCCATTACTGCAACTCGTTTCAAATTCGTTACACAATAACACAATATCAACTGTATGTCAATCACACACGACTAACCCTAATTCAAGTCAGGAGCATTTTGTAAGTATCTAGGTGGAGAAAAGAAATACAAATTTCAATGTTTGACATTGATATGGTTGTTTTTTTTCAATGCTCTCTACATCCGAAAAATTAAATAGTTTAACTTATGAACTTTATGCACATGTCTGTCTGTCTGTCGGTCTGCTGTCTGTCTGTCGGGCTGTCTGCGTGTCTGTCGGGCTGTCGGTCTGTCTGTCAGTGTGTCTGTCTGTCTATTTATTTATTTATTTATTTATTTATTCTGATTTACTCCAAAATAGAGATGGTAAGTTGTAAAGGAAAATAATCTCCTATTCCTTAGGATTCACCTACCATTTACATTTAGGAAAAAATCGATATTATTATTATTAAACCTGTTCGTAAACAATGATAAAAAAAAATAATACAATTTAAAAGATTCAGGATATTAAGCAAAAAAAGATAAAAAAGGTCAATTGACAAAACGGTTGAGTGATCATCGTTGAGTGTGATGGAGAGATGGAATTTAGGATAAGAGACCAGGGATGACGGAAGCTACTGTATAAATGCAGAAATAGAAGTAAACTGTCTGACATCAAGAGGAATTTTATTCCACAGACCAGTAAGAAAATTTAAAAGCATTACAGCGGGCAAATGAAATGGAGTCAGATCTGATCATTACGGTAACATTTGGAACCAGAAACATAGTGAAAGAAACTCCCTTCTGGATTCTGGAGAAAGAAATACCCAGCTTGTAGGCCCACAAGTTCAGCAACATCTGAGCTAGGAGTACTGTATTCTTTTTGTGAGATGATATCTCAAATCGTTTGTTTGTAGGTCTAAATTAGGATATTTTTTACAATTGATATCGCATTCTGAGAAGGTTTTTTTTTTAATGCGTATCTTGTTTTGTCTAAACCATCGGCGGAAACGCTCTATTCACTATGAGAATCACTCAGGAAAGTCAATAGAACAAGAAGACCTCACTATTAACTGTATTTATTTGAGTGAGCCAAATGGCCGAGCGGCTAAGGCAGGGGCACCGTGATCATAGCCAACAATATCGGCACAGGTTCGCAGCCGGCTAACTCATATAGTTTTGGTGGCGGAAGAATTCTCACTGGCTGCGGTGGACATGAAGGAGAATGTTTTGAAAAGTGCAACATTTAGTCCCGGGCGCATAGAGACCTCGTTTATCTGCGCTATATAAATTCATTTGTTATTATTATTATCAATGCCTGCAGCATTAAACACAGCTTGTCACCGGCGGTAAGATACAACTTATGAAGCTAGCTCTATCTAGAGAAAGTTCGTGTCTCAAAACAAAATTTGTTAGTCGTTGTATCAAGGTTCTACATGTTTTATTTGTTTTCATTTATTATTGACTAATAATACGGCTCATGTTTTTCATCTTTAACATATCAAACACTATCTTTAAATTCAGTACGCGGCTTTCTCGACACCGCATCATCATAACATGGGTTGTGTATCAAACCAATGATACAAATAGTATTCGAAGATTACTAAACTATGGAACGCCATCGCTGCCTTCGGTAACAGCTTACCATTCGGCGCATTTACATTCGGCCCTTTTACCATTACGTTCGGCTCTTTTACCATTCGGCGCATTTTCATTCGGCCCTTTTACCATTACGTTCGGCTCTTTTAC